ATTTGTGTGTCTGTGTGTGTGTGTGTGTGTGTCTGTGTGTGTGTGTATGTGTGGTATCAGGTGGAGGGCTCTCTGTGGGATGCGGGAGGCCCGTAAGAATCACGGTCTGGTTGTGGTGAACTCAAGAATATACGCAGTCGGCGGGCAGAACACACTCGGTATGTTTCTATGAAAGTTCACTTCTTGTGTCAATATTTGCTTTGTTTTAATGTATTAATGTTCCTGCTGATCCTGGGATGATGATTTCTTCTCAAACCACCTTCCAGGCACAAGCATCTGTTGAGTTGTTGAGCTTGACACAGACAGTAAGACAAAGTAACACATCGTTTTCTTTGCTCTGTAATGACTGGAAAACATTTAAAGAGCTCATATTGTGAAACAAAACTGAATTTCTTATAATAATAGCAGTGCTAGTGTTAGACATGTTTTGGTCCAGAGGTACTGTGCCGTTGTCATAATGTTTAGCACACTGACTCTGTCTTTAGTGAAAAGGGAGTTATAGATGACAAATATATGCAAGAAGGACCAATCAGAATTCCGTATGCAAATATTGCAATGACATCATCATTTTACATTTGATTTACATTTATTCATTTTAGCAGATGCTTTTTATTCATCACTACATAACATGCGATTCATCCTAGAGTTTTTTCCTAGAGAATTCATCCTAGAATATTTATAGAATTCATAAAATACAATTTATTTATGTATTTATTTTTACACTAGATTAGAGTTAAAATGCAGAAATAATTTATAGATAAATAAATTGATGTAAAAAAACACTTGTTCACGGATTATGAAAAACTAAATTACAGTTGTTTTTGGTGCAAGAAACCTTGAGTAACATAAAAAGCAAACAAAATATTACAATATTTTATATTTACAACTCTGTACTTTTTACTTTTTTGCTAAAACTTTTGAATTATTTATATCTTTGCTTTCTCATTTTCTTTTCTTTTCATTTCTGTATTAATATTTTAATTGACTTCTTTGACTTGTTTACTGTATTAAATTTATTTAATATTTGTTATTATAACTAAATTTTTTCAAGGTAAGTGGTTGCAATCAATTTATTTTAGCTACATTTAAATAAACAAATTTTGCTGAAAGTTAGTCAACTAAATTTGTTTAATTAAATGTAGCTAAAATAAATTGATTGCAACCACTTACCTT